CGATTCCCAAGAATCTTATACTGGATTGCTTTTTAATTACTTTATCATTTATAAATAGGTTCGGCAACTTGAGAGGAAGATTTTCTTCTTGTGTTTTTTGAAATAGTATATAGTTTGTTTTCTCGGCATTAAATGAGAGTTTGTTAGCTCTAAACCAGTTATTTACTTTATTTAGTTCAATACTCATGAAGAAGATTTACTCAAGAATCGATCCTTGCGTAACTCCACATATGACATTTAACACGATTAGGCATTATTGACATATTATTTTTTGTTTGTAAAATAGCTTTTAATCCAATAATAAGTTTTATTAATTATTCCGTAATGTCTTAATTTATCTAAGAGAATACAGTGGTCCACTGTATCAAATGCTTTTGATAAATCAAAAAATACTATTTCAATGGTTGCATGCTCAGTAGAGAGATTTTTTGAAAACCAAACTGATTTGGGTAAAAAAAATTGTTTTTAATGAAGTAATCATAGATTCTATTATAAAGTACACGTTCGAATAGTTTTGAAAGTACTGATATAGGCCTGTAGTTTGTAATGTCAGAATGATCATTGCATTTGTGCAATGGAGTTACTTTTGCTAATTTAAGTACATCCGGAAATATCCCAGAATTTAACGAAAGCTTTAGTATATGTATTAGAGGTCTTTTAAGACAGTGTTTGTTTAGTAGATATCTCATCAAATCCTGGAGCCTTTTTTTAACGAGGAAAAAGCTGCCTCAAACTCCTCATAGGTTAATTCATAATCGAGCATGATAACATTACTCGTTGGTTTAAGGAAGGTTTTAAATGATACAGATGTTGGTACTATTTTTTTTACAAGATTTGGACCAATACTTGTAAAATATTTGTTATATTTAAGGTTTAAGTTTAAGGTCGACAATTTATTACTCACTTTAGCTTTACTAATTTTGTGAGTTTAAGGTCGACAATTTATTACTCACTGTAGTTTTACTAATTTTGAGGGTTTTTTATGCATGCATACTTACCTGTATTTGGGTGGCAGTGGGCGAGGAACTGCCAACTTGTGTATTCCATAATGCAAAAGTGTATCAATGTCTTCATTTTTGCTGAGTCAACTGTGACAGAAGATTTTAATACATGAGCTATGTCGCCAACAATCTAAAATAGAGGAGAGTTGCCGAAATTGGAACAGCGCCTTAATTGGAACACTTGCATTATGGCTATATTTTGCATTTTTTTAGTAAAACGCATTATTTTTTACGTTTTGACACATTTTGAAAGTTTTTCCTCAAAAAATGCGTTTGCCCCATTAATTTAATTTTTTTTTGCGTCATTTTTTTTCAGTGATCTAATTTTGTGTTCACACTATATTGATTGCGCTGGGTAAACTATGGTGCTATAGGTTATGCCGTTTATTGTGTTTAATTCGATGGGATTTAAAAAGCAAAATAACTACACAATCTTATCGTATAAGTTGCTGCAGGCATGTCATTGTAGTGATATAACAAAATAGACGAAAGTTTCCTTGGTTGGAACATTGCAGTTTTCCTTACCTAATCAGTAATAAAATCAACGAGTTGTAAAAATAGTTAGAGTGCAATTCAAAAAATACTTAGTAACAGCCATAAACTTAAAAATAATACTTTATTTAGTGATTTTTATTAATAAACTAAGAGAACGTCATAATAGTTGAAGCTTTATACAATTTTTTGTTTGAAGATTTTAAATTTGTTTGGGTAATACTAATCCTATATTAACTTTTGAATTAACTGTTTAAGTTTTCACTGTAAAGATGAAAATCATTTTTTACAAATTTTGTTGATATTACAGATTTATTTTTTTTTAAACAACCTGTTCTGGTTAAAGAACCAAAGTGTTCCAATTCAGGGAACCAGTTACATTGATTGGAACAAAATGGTAACTTTGCAAAAACAAATTTATTTCCAATAACAGTGCAATCAGTTAAGTCAAATCGTGGTTAAAAATATAGTAGGGATGTCTGTTTGTATTAATTAAATCATAAATGTTTTCATAGTTAAGCCATCTTTGGGTAATAAATATTTATTCCTTAAGTGTTCCAATTAAGGCAACTCTCCCCAAAATAATTATAATAAAAAAAACAACATAAAACTTCAAAAAGCAGAGAAAATTTATAGAATAATCCATTAGAGGACATGGCAGTTTTGAAAACTCCTTCTCACTTAAAAAACGATTTGTGATTTTGAAACAATATTACATTTTATCCAATAAATATATGAAATCACGAATGAAAAAAAAAATCTTACCAATAGCACATTAGGGAAACATTGATATTTCTCTAAAACTGCTGCAACTCTATCAACTCTCTCAACTGAAAATTAATTTCTCTAATTTTTTTTCTATAATTACATTTCTCCAAAATAAAAAGACATAAAAATGAATTTTGGTATAAAGTGAATATAAAAAATAAATTATTCCATGAATAAAAAATGATAAATTATTTCATGATTTTATGCATTGGTTTATGATGTGATTTGTTATGCTGTAACTGAACAATGTTTTAGAATATATAAGTTAAGGTTGCTAAAAGATGAAAGATAATATTGAGAGTTTTTTATTGAAGTAAAGAAATTACAGATTGAAAGAGGTAGGGTAACTTGTGTGTGATTTCAGACAAATAGACAATTTAATAGATGAACAAGAGCACAAAATTTGATAATTTTGGATAGAAAGAAAAGAATATTAAAACTAGAGTGATATTCTTGAAAGTAAATTACTTTAAATGTCTTGTTTTTAGATTAGATATTCATAAAAAATTATTGGTTCATAAATTATAAGTATATATAATTATTATAGATGAGTATTTGACCTTTTGAAAATCCCGGAAATTTTTTTCTATGAAAATCCCGGAAAATAATTTAATTAATCGTTAAATTGATCGTTTTACAGGGTTATTCATTTTTATATGCGCGTCTATTCATTCTTATATGCATGTTTATTCATTCTTATATGCGCATTTATATGCGAATCAACCACCAATAAAATCTCTAACATAATCTCTAAATATAATATAATACCTTAATCTCTAAATATAATACCGCATCAATGCCTTATTAGGGAAAATGACTCCATTGTTGAAAAGATATTTGGGGATGCCGAACAAGACGATTATGCTAAACGTGTCATTTTGACACCAACTAATGTGGATTCACTATCAATCAATGAGGAAGTGCTTCAACGTCTACCGGGTGAGGTCAAAACTTATTTAAGTGCTGATCAAGTTGAGACAGACAATCTTAATGAAAGAAATAACTTTCCTGTTGAGTTTTTAAATAGCTTAACTCCCTCAGGTATGCCTCCTCATTCTTTAAAGTTTAAAATTGGTTGTATAATTATGTTACTTAGAAATTTAGATCTCAAAGCTATGTTATGCAATGGCACTCGAATGAAAGTTTGTGCTCTTCAAAATAATTATATTGATGCAGAGGTTTTGACAGGTGTTTCTGCTGGTAAACGGGTATTTGTACCTCGAATTCAGTTGGCTCCGTCAGATTCTAATTTACCTTTTGTTCTAAAACGTCGCCAGTTTCCTGTCAGATTGGCATATTCAATGACAATTAATAAAAGTCAAGGTCAAACATTTGATAGAGTTGGTGTATATCTAAAGAAACCGTGTTTCACTCATGGTCAACTTTATGTTGCATGTTCAAGAACTGGAGCATTTAATAGTTTATTTTTTAAAATTGATAAACATCCCATTCAAGGTATGATAGGTGAAAAGTGTTATACAAATGTTGTATTTTCTAATGTTCTTAATTTATAATTATGAGATTTTTGTTATAATTTCACTTTTTTTCATAGTTTTATTTTATATTGTTTTAGTAATTATATTTGTCTTTATACATGTTTATAATTGTTATAGGTGTTATGTAAGTGTTATATTTATGTTATGTGTTAGTTGTTATTTAAATTGTTCATGTAATACTTGGGCTATATGTGTTATCAAGGTTATGTGTTTAGGGTTTGTGTATATGTGTTTATAGTTTGTGTATATATGTTTATATTACGTTGTTTCCATGTTTTCAAAGTGGTGTGACTTGGCAAACGTGTCGAGCAAGATAGTTAACCTTGCCAGCCAAGCGGTGTACTTAAAGCAGAGGTGTGACTTGGCAGCGTTTAGTGCCAAGTGGTGTTACTGCTTTGTTGTGGCTAGGTTGTGTTGTCTAGCCTTTTTTAATTATTCTGGAAACACGTAATGTCTATTAATATTCAGCATCATATGTACATACAAATATGTAATGTGTTAAATGTGTTAATATGTTTTATAATGTTATATCGTCACGATCATAGCACAATTGCCTAAGTCATTTTTTGGGGGTTTTTTGGAAGTTAAGAGTTGAAATATATAGCTTAAACAGTCTAATAATGTGGCAAATCGCCTTAAACCAATCAGAAAGGAGTTGATTTTTAGTTGTTTCACTTCTGCTTAAATCCGCATTTTTACTTATATCTTATTGCTTTTGACCTATATTCTATTGTGTCTCAACGGTAATACACATATCATTTCTAAAGCAATATATGAAAGCATCTAAGTAAAAAGATGCCAAAAATAAGCCAAAGTGACGTAGCAAAAGAAATACCGAAGTTATTCATTTTTTTTTTAGTTTACTCAAAACAAGAAAAAAATGACTTAGACGATTGTGCTATGATCGTGACGATATGTTAATAGTTTGTTTCTTTGTCTATTTTATGCAGTGGTTTCAAAGTGGTTTGACTTTGCCATTGTAAAGAGCAAGTGTAATGTGTACTTATAAATATCTTATGTGCTTTTGTTGTGCGTTATCGTTGTAATATTGTTGTGATGATTTGTGTTGATAGACAGTTGGCTTACCTTCCCGTTGGTGTCTATCGTTAAAAATGATTAATTGGTAGTTCTATTCATGGAGCTTACTGTTTCTAATCATTCACTAAAAGCCAAGACAAAACATATTGTTATAAACACAATTTGTTTATATTTCAATTTGTTGTTTTTTTTTATCTTAAGTGTTGTGCATAGTTCTATTCTTTAAAACATTTTTAATTTGTTTTTTAATAAATGTTAATTTTTTCGTCTTTAATAAAAGCCAGCATGAAATAATGTCATTGAACAACACCATTAAATATTGCTTCATCAAAACAGCAACTGCAGTTTGCCAAAAACAGGTTAATTGTTTTCCTGTTTTAAAAATGTTTTTCTTTTCTTTTATATTTACTTATCTATTACATTTTTCTTTTAGACACCATGTGACGTATTTATGTGATACAGGAGAACGCAAATAATAATTATGTTTTGTTATTAAATAATAAAGTTTTGTTAAAAAAAATATTATTAAATAAATTTGTGATTTTGTAATAAACGGAAGGGTCGGATTTTAGAAGCATGAAATATTTGAAAATTTCTGTTTAAAATGCATTTTTCATCTATGATGGAGAGACCTTTATGTAATTAACTAAAATTTAATTATGCGCACATTAAACGCTTTTAAGTTAAATAGAATTCCTTAATAAAGGAGAGGGGGTTACCAAAAAAATTAATAAGTGTCCCGTTAGACATTAGAAGTTAACATTTATATAAGTATTATAAAATTTTTTAACTGCTCCAAAAAATTTAAAGATGTTAAGGAAAATTTCAACTAAATGATAATAAAAACGCCTTCACTCTAAAAAAAATATATATCTAAAAAAAAAAAGTTTTTGTCATAATTAACAGTAACTCCCTTAAGTTAATTAATATGTCTTTTTCTAACACGGTGCCTTGGAAACACTGTCTTAGTCTCACTTAAATAAGAATTAATAAAGCGAGATAAAACCTGAATAAGTACGGAGCTCTTGCGTACTTCTTAACACTATTGATAATGACCGTCTATAAACATACTTTACGCGTTGTATGCTGTTTTATAAAATAATTATAACTAGAAGCAATGACATAGCTAATAGGAAGCCGAACTTTAAATACAAATTTATCTGTAAAATTATTTACAGATAAATTTGTATTTAGATATATATTTTTAGATAACGTAGTAAGTTTTGTTGTTACTAATGGTTTAGTTATTTTTAACCCGTATTACGGGTTGCTTACTGCTAGTTTAATATAAACAATAAATAGGCTTTTAAATTTTTATATAGATACATTAATAATAATTATAAACAATTAAATTTGAATCTTTATAAATGAATAATTAGATAAATAATAATTTAATCAATAAAGAAAGTTAATAATGTAATAAAATTAAACAAAGACCTCCCAGTCAGGAACTTGATATTATATTGATATCAAAATGATATCAAGCTATGAATCTTTTCCTTTTTTTAATTTAAAAATTAATTAAAAATTTAATTTAAAAATCTAATAAAGTTAAAATAGTTCCTGTTATAAATACTTTTGATGTTCATCTTTTTTTTTAAGTTGATTTAGGTGCCCCAAGAAGTCTTTACGGTCTTACCACAGAGCACCGCGGAAGAGCATTTAATAGGAAGTTCACGCCTTCTTCCCAACCGATGCACAGTGGGCCAGTAGGTGGTCAAAACTAAAAAAATTTATGTCTGAAAACTGAAATTCTTTTTAAAAAGTTTTTACTTAGATACATTGAGGACCTTAAAAATAATTACAATAAATTAAAAAAATATATATTCTCAACAAAAACTCATTTCAAGTAAAATTTTTGCAAAAAAAAAATGGCGATAAAGTGAGAAAATGTAGTTTTTAAAAAAGCAAAAGTGTGTAATAAATTTTTAGTATATTGGTTAACTGTTTTTATTAACATATCAAATAATTGTTATTATATAAAATTTATAAAAAAAAAAAAGTTAAAAAAAAATTTTAAACCAGTTTTAGATATATTTTTTGGTAAAAATTGGACTTTTTTTTAAATTTTTTTTGAAAAGACAACAAGGAAAAATTTGTGCTCTATTTTGCCTTTATCTCTTATACATATTTTGAAGGCTATATGTATATGTTTTTATAAAATTATTAATTTAGCTGCTAGTATCTGCTACTTTTTTTAATACTTATAATACTTTTTAATACTTATACTTTATAAAATCAAAGATGTTTCTTTTTCAAGTTTCTTTTGTCGCAAAATAACAAGTATTTATATATATATATATATATATATATATATATATATATATATATATATATATATATATATATATATATATATATATATATATATATATATATATGTATATATATATATATATATATATATATATATATATATATATATATATATATATATATATATATATATATATATATGTATATATATGTTAATACAACTTTTTAATGTTTATATTATTTTAGTCTAATAATATTATTATTAGTAATATGTCAACCATCACAAGATATCAAATTCATCAATTCATAAGACAGCATGGTTTATCTATGTCTAATGAAAAAGACAAACTTTATGTTTACAATTTTATTCGTGAATACTGTTCTGAATTTGATGCTCAGTTTGTAACCTTTTTGTCCAAGTATCGTAAACGTTGGTCTTTAAGTAAAAGAATTGATGAAAACTTTATGAAACATAATTCAGTATGGCTTCAAAAAGACTTTATTAAGTCATTTAAAAATCAGGATAATAAAACTGAATCTATAGTTAGTGGTCGACCTGTAAAATTATTTGATGATTCATCAAATAAGACAAAGAGTCGTAAAGTAGCAGCTATGGACTTATTAACTTGTTCATCAAATGAACTGTTGTATGCTAGTAGTTGTAATCTTTTAAAAGATAGCAGAAGAAAGGATGCAAAAGTAGTTCGAAGCTTATCTATTAAGCAACCTTTTGATACAGAACATACTCAAAACACTCTAAATGAAGCTCTAGCACTCATATTAGATATTGATATGAGCAAATCTGATTACCAACGCTTGAGAAATAATGCTTTGAACAAAGGTTGTAATCTCTATCCTGCTTACAATGATGTTCGTGCTGCTAAAGAACAGTGTCTTCCTGAAAAAACATTATGGACTGTAAATGATTTTTCAGCAGAAATAAACTTTCAAGCATTAGTCGATCATACAGCAATACGCCTAATACAGTTGCAGAAACAAGTTATTGATTCAATGAATGATTTTGAAAGGTTGACTTTATATTCTAAAGTTGGGTTTGATGGATCAACTAGCCAAAGGATTTATAATCAAGTAACAGTTGAGAAAGAAAACAGAGATCTTTTAGAAGAAGCTAGTTTGTTTATTTCTTGTTTTGTTCCACTTCAGTTGTTTAGATTCATTAATGATAAAAAAATAATAATTTGGTCTAATCCACATCCATCTTCAACTTTATATTGCAGACCAATAAGATTTTCATTTAAAAAAGAAAACCATTGAAGTTTTGAAACAAGAGAATCAGTTTATTAACAATTCAATTGCAAATTTGTCTTTAACATTTTGTGAAAACTTAACAATACTTCATAAAATTGAAATAACGATGGTGGACGGCAAAGTTGCTACAGCATTATCTACAGCAACTACATCTTCTCAGTGTTGTTCTGTTTGTGGATGCAGCCCAAAAAAAATGAATGATCTTAATGCAGCTAAAAATATGCCATTGACAGAGATAGGTCTCTGCTTCGGTCTTTCAACTCTCCATGCTTGGATTAAAAGCATGGAATGTCTTCTTAAAATTAGTTATAAATTGACAGTGAAAAAGTGGGCTACAAGAACTATATCTGAAAAGAAAATTATTCAAGAACGAAAACAGAAAATCCAGATAAGGTTTCGTGATGAAGTTGGACTGATAATTGATATGCCAACATCTGGTGGCTCTGGGTCTTCAAATAATGGAAACACTGCTAGAAAATTTTTTCAGAATGCAGAGAAGTCTGCTCAAATTCTTGAACTTGATGTCAGTATGATAAAGATGTTGCATGTGATTTTGTGTACATTGTCGTCTAACTTTCTAATTGATTCTTCACTATTTAGAGAATACTGCTACAAAACAGCTGAGAAGTATGTAATCCTTTATCCATGGTATCATATGCCACAGAGTCTGCATCACATTCTTATTCATGGTTGGCAAGTTGTAGAGAGAATGGTTTTGCCTATTGGCATGCTCAGCGAAGAGGCACAAGAAGCTCAAAATAAAAATTTTAAGAAATTTCGAGAATCATTTTCCAGAAAGTGTTCGCGTTCCAAAACAAACGAAGATTTATTAAGGCGACTAATGTGTTCTTCTGACCCTTTGATAAGTAGTTTGAGAAAACCCCATCATCCTAAGAAAAACGCTCTTCCAAATGGAGTTTTTGATCTTCTTAAAGAGGTTCCAATTTTTGACTAAGTGTCAGTGACATAGTTTTGATTTTCGTTGGTGTTTAAGATGGTGTTTACTTTATAAGTATTTAATATTTACATAATAAAATAATGAATATAAAAGTTTGTTTTCTTATATATTCGTTATAAAATTTTTTGTATCTTTAATTGCATAAAAACTTGCTTATTTTTATATGGTTGCTAAGGGTATCTAAACTACACAGTTAAAATTTAATTAACTGTTCCTGTAAACTTTTATAGTTAAGAGTGTTTTAAAAGTTTTTATTTCATTTTTTAAAGAAATTTTGAATTAAGAAAAAGTTTCAAAAAAAATTACCAACTGGTTTCTAAGATAGTAACACCAAAAATTGATAATTTTTTGTTTGTGTTATCATTCAAATACATAAAATAGCAATGTAGCATTAATATCAGTTTAGTTTATAACTTTGATATTTTGAGAAAGTCTTTTTATTTAGGTAACTATGCAAAATGCCTGTTGACATGAAATATAGGTATCCATGGCAACCAAATAAACAATCTAATGGTGCCATTAGATTTGTTATATGAAATATACTCAAGCTGCTAATTATGGGAAAAACCTGATAAATATTTTAAAAGTTATTAATTTTGTCCAGCTAATAATGATTTTGGCCCACTGTGCGATGTCGCAAAACTTGCTCAGAGGTGGGGTTTGAACCACGGATCTTACGTTTCTGAGGCAAGTGCGCTACCACTGCGCCACGGCTGCACATCTTTATTTTAAAGTTTTCTAAACTCCTTTTTTAAATAATTTTATTTGTAAATCCTTGATTACAAGAACGATACTAAAAGCTGTACTGTATCTAGAAATTGTTGTTGAAGTTACACTTTATCTTCTTCTGTTATAATTTTACACTTAACGAAATTCTGAAAATAATTTGAACAAAACTCTATTAAATTTGACACAGTCGTCGTGCTTTACATCGTCTATAAAATAAATCAAATAAATTTTACACTTTGCTATTTGTTTTTGTTTTTAGCAATCTTTATTTTTTTTTTTCTTATTTTAATATTTTGCATAACGCTATTACAAATTTTGTTTTATTAAAAACATTGGTTGTATCCGTTCCGTAATTTACACGTTTTTCAAAATATCAAAAATCGATAAATCTCGAATACAACACGCATGAATGAAAGGTAGGAGCAGAAAAATACTTATTGTAAGCAAAATAAGGCGTTTTATATTGCAAACATTTATGTTTTTGTTTCACTAAATGTTAACACTCAAGTTTACATTCATAGAATATAGTCCCAGAAATTGAGCAACGGGATGAAAAAAATAGATAGACTTGCATGAGGCCTATACTTATTTATCTTAAAAATTTTTTTTTTGCAATAACTTTAAAGAAATTGTTGTTGTTATGGTAACTTTAATGAAATAATTTAGATCGACTTATTTGATTAAATACTCCACTGCTGTTTCCATAAAATCAGTAAAACTTTTCGAAAAAACCGGTAAACCAGATAAAAACAAAACGTTTGTAGTTACATATTATATTTATTAATATTATATATATTATTTAACTTTTCTTATTAGAACTCTCTATATTAACTGTTACATATTATATAATATTAACTTTCTTACAAAATAACTTTGTTATTTAATATATTAAGCGCAGTAATGCATATATATATAATGCATATTTGTTCAGTAATAATCACAATATATTAAATTTAGTATATGAGTAATATAAAATAAAAATCTAATAGAAAAATCTAATAAAAATATTTATAAAAAAATTTATAAAAAAATTTATAAAAATAAAAAATTTATTTATACTGACGTGAACGGAATATTTCTATATTTCGTTAATTAAATATTTCTAATTTAACAAAAAAAGATGAAAACTTGGTTTAAAGAATATTTATGAGTGTACTTAGTTTGGTAAATAGATAAAAATACGATCAGTTTCATAAATAGATAACAAAATAAAAAATTTTTAAAAACGATAATCAATTAACAAAAATTATTATTATTTGTAGCTCATACCAGCAGGTTTTAGAGTTAAAAATTTGTCGAAGCAAAAATAATTAATAAATAAAAAAAAAATAGTATTTTACACTATCTGAAAAAGGATTTTTCCTAGAGAAAGATTTTGCTCAAATATTTTTATTTGCAGAATTCTTACTTCTTACACAGGAAAACTACTTCAATTTCTGTATGCAAAAAAAAAAACAAACATGTGGATATATATCTATATATCTATATATCTATCTATCTATATATATATATATATATATATATATATATATATATATATATATATATATATATATATATATATATATATATATATATATATATATATATATATATATATATATATATATATATATATATATATATATATATATATATATATATATATATGTTTATATATATATACTTTTTGTATAACTTTGATACTATTAAATCCCGGGTTGACACCTTTTGCTGATTCTTTTTTTCAATATATTGTTTGGGAGTTTTGAAGGCAATTATTAAACTTGGTTAAAAATACTTTTGAATTAAAATATTATAGCACAATAAGAAAAGTTTTAACTTTCTGTTCTAAAAGAAATTAGTAAAAGTGGTCAGCCCTATATAGTATCAAAAAACATACATTTAAAATTTTGTATCATTTTCTGGATTAGAAAAAGTAACTGCAGAATTCTTTTTTTTTTTCCTCTCCATTCTTTTCTCTGTATAAATCCATAAGGGAACAAGCAATGAATCAAACAAAAGCATAGATATATGAGCGATGATAATGGAAATAGCCATCAAGCCTCGATCACCTACAAGTATTATAAATAATGAAATACGCTGAACATTTAAAATACTTGATAAAATAAGCACATCAACAAAACAAAAAAATCTGTTACCATCTTGGTACCTAGTAATCTTATTTATCATCTCAATTAATGAGTTTCGATCGATTAAGAAAGTTTAAAAATGCAACATTCGTCATAAGTAAGAAAAGAAAAAAAAATTTTTTTTTATCACACACAACACCTCAAACAAAAAGAAAAAATTGAACTGAAAATAAAATAAACTTATACCAACATTTTTACATTCAAATACATGAAATTTAAAGCTTAAAACTGATATAATAACAAAAAGAACATTTATAGAGAAATTCACAACAACAAAAAAGGAACCGTATAATATAAAGAAATAGAAGAAAAAAAGTTTATAAATAAATAAATAAAAACAAACTTTATAAAAAAATAAGAACCCATATAAAAAATAACACATATAAAAAATAAACTTTATAAAATAATAAGAACCCATAAAACATCAAATTATAACGTATTTTCTTTCACATTTTTTCTGATGCTTTCTAAAAATTTAAATCACTTAAAAAATACATTGTTTGCTAAAAAATAAAGTTATATATTACTTTCCAATAAACTGAAAAATAAATTTTTCAGTTTATTGGAAAGTAATATATAATACATCTAAACTAAGGGTGCACCGATGCCTATTTATAGCCGATGCCGATTGGTACTAGCCAATACTGATGCATCGGCATCGGCCCTAAATTTGCATTTAGGCCGATGTGGATTTTATTTTTTACTAATAGACTAATAGATAAATTAGTATTTTTTTTTCAAATATATTGTTAAATATAATATATAATATAATAATATATATATATAATATATATAATATAATATTATATATATATATATATATATATATATATATATATATATATATATATATATATATATATATATATATATATATATATATATATATATATATATATATATATATATATATACATATATATATAAGTGAGATTAGTATTGCTGTGTAAAATACAAAAACTCTTGATCGTATGACAGTGCTCAATATTATCAAATAATAGAGCAATTTATACTTTATGTAATTAATAAATAAAAACAATTTAATAAGTCAACAATTTGTAAAACCTGTTTACACTGAAAGTTTTTTTTTTCATTGGTGACTGAAAATTATTTTTAAATTTTTAAGGCCGATTTCCACTGAATTTTTTTATTTTTATTTTTGAGATATATATTTTTTTTGTTGATAACAAGTAAAAATTAATAAATGAGGAGGGAGGGGAGGGGGTCTTAATAAACTTAGGGTGAGTGGAAAAAATATACAAAAATTAATAAACGGGATAGAGGGAAGGGAAGGGCGTTTATTAGGAACTCGAGAGTACCTTCTATGAACACTAATGAATACCTTGTCCACCAAGAATTAATAAAAATTAAATCATCGGCTAGTGGACCAGACGGTATCCCTGGAGCTATCCTCAGAGATTACATCAATATTTTGGCAGCCCCCTTAACGCTCATTTTCAATCGTAGCTTTTCTCAACTTTAGTTTTCATCTGCATGGAAAAAAGCTCATGTGGTTCCAATTAAAAAAAAAAAAACGGCGAGTATCACCCTATCTCATTACTTTGCAGCGCTGCTAAGATCTTAGAGAAGATTGCACTTAATCAGTGGTTAATACTTCACTTCACTTCAAACAGTGGTTAACACTTCAGAAAAAATTTAATCTGTTTCAATTCGCTTTCGTTCCGGGCCCTTATAAAGGCACAACTAATGCTCTTACAATGATAATTTTTTTGGACTTTGAACAAACTCATATTTTCAGGTAGTTATGTTTGATGTATTAGTATCAATTTTAAAAAAGCACTCAATAAAATCTCTCATCTTGTTGTCCTTCTTACAGCTAAAAATGATTACAGACCGGACTGTGTTACAACTTGGATTAAATCCTATTTTATTCATCAATCTCAAAAAGTCGTTGTTTCTGGTGACTCTTCAGACTCCATCCCTTGGACCAATATAACAAGTGAAGTTCCTCAGGGGTCAGTTCTAGGTCCATTTCTTTATGCTATGGTAGTTAACAGAATGTCGGTACTTGTTAATTCAAGAAGTCTATTAAAGTTGTACGCTGACGACACCATGCTATTACATTATGTTGGCCGTAATAACATCAATAACACACAGGAGGAAATGAATAATTTGCTAAGTTGGTCACTACGTGCAAAAATGCATGTCAATAATGAAAAAACTCAATTGATCGATTTTTCCTTAGAGGGTGACAAGGGATTGCCAATAACTGTCGCTGGCAGTAAGTTAGAAACTCAGTCCACTATTAAACTTCTTAGGGGTGACTTTACAAAATGACCTTAAATGGGACTCTCACTTCAAAATCGTTCATCAGAAATGTTGCGCCGGAATGTCGGCTATCCATCACCTGGTATTATATGGCATTCCTAATGATTTAACATGGAAAACATATCTTGCATTAGTTTTTTCGCATATGGCTTACGCTTGACCTGCGTTCTGTGATATCTCGCACTCAACTTATGAAACTGTCTACCATAGAAAAACGCCTTCTGTTTTATGCAACAAACGCCCATGCTCCAATCAAACGGCAAAACGTCTTGAAGGTATTTGCCTCAGATTAATAAAAAAAGTTGCCACATTGTCTGATCATCCTCTTAGATCGTTATTTTCAGTCAGAACTATTGTTAAAAATCTTAGGAACTCGCGTAAGCTGCACCCAAGTAGATATGGCTTGCACCTAAAGTCGACGCCGCTAAAGAAATCTTTTGCGGGTTTTTGTAAGAACTCATAAATACCTAGATATTGTATTTATTTATAAAGGAAATAATAATAATTTTCATTGGAAGAATTTTGCGATAGTCGATCATTAATGGAGAGAGGGATCTGCTTAAGAACTTGGGGCGAGTGGTTTGATTCGGTGTGAATGTAGAGCAGTTGGTCATTTTGTTTTTTAAAAGGTTGGTAGGAGTTTTTTCGAAGATTAAAAGTTGCGTCAAGAAAATTAACACTGTTTAGATTGGTTTGAATCTCTATTTGAAATCCAATCTTTTTAAATATCTCAATTATATTTTTTCTGACTTGTGTAACTGTGTAGGTAGTTTTGTAGGTAGGTAGTAGTGTAATTGTGCGAAAGTTTTTTAGCGCATCACCATCAATCCGTCGTCTTGGTAAAGACATATATCATTTTTAGTAATGGTTTTGGATAAAGAGTCTAGAATGTATAAACGCACCAGTTCACATACTTCAGCTCCATCAAAACAACCCATTGTGACGTCAAAACAATCATTATACGCCTTTTTTATCCATGTTTCATTTTTAAAAAATAATGGCAATTTTCTGCAATGATTTATGACTCGAATTTTTTCACTGCTGATTTCAGTGTGCTGTTTTGCAAATACTAAAGCGTTATTTAGTATGTCTTTTGTGATGGATGGGTAAAATTCATTGATGTCGAGTTGTATAAATACACAGTGTTGCTTGTTGCTTATGTTTGTAAACCATTTAATTACTTCTGCGGTGTTTTTCCATTGGTTTAGTTTTAATTTATTTTTCAAGTCCTTGTTAATTTTATCTAGGTATGTTTTGGATTTAATAAGCGGCAAGGTTTTTGATTTTCAAAGTTGTTTTTGTGGTCTTTTAATGTAATAAATGCTTCTGATTTGGCGATTATATTGATTTGTTTGTTTATATTTAGTTTAGTTGCTATACTTTTTGCCTCGAGGTTGATTGAATTTTCCCGTTTTTTAGGGGCTTTTTTGTATGTTTTGGCTCATACAACCTTCAACTTTTCAAGTTTTCTGTCAACTGTTTCCTTGCTCTATAACTCTGTTCCTAGTAACTCCCAACTTAATAGTGGTTGCTTGCAGCCTTGTTGGGAGTGAATGCAAATAAAAAATAAATAAATAAAACATGTGTATTGTATAAGATAAACAGCTATTTGCTATTTATTTATTTACTATTTTTCACTGTTTATGTGTAAGCTTAAAATTTAATTATATAGTATATATATTAAACTTTAAGCGTACAAAGTGTGAATATAAAATACCATTTAGTATGCTAAAATGATATCACTTACGACCAATATTTTTTCCATTAATTTAGATTGAAAGATTTCATCTTAGAAGATCATCAAATATCAACGACATTGTTGATGAAATTAATGCTTCTAATGATTCTGAATGTGCCAAGTCCTCCAGACTATGTTCAACATGCTTTGGTTTTGTAGGTTAGAATTTTATTATTATTGTTGTTTTATTTTTTCATATTTATAATGCTTCACATAACAAAATTCATTGTGCTTAATAAAATACTTAATTAATTAAAAATTTTGTTCATTTGTTTTCAAACAAAAATATTTAGTTCATATCTGTACAGAGAGCAAAGCTGTTAACAATCTCATTGTAGCAGCAAAACAGCTTGGACTTAAATATTCAGAACGGGTAGCCTCAGGCAAGTATATTAAAGTGTTCTTTTAATATAGATACATATTTTAAAATTCTAAATAATAAACATATTTTATTAATCTATGTTGTCAGGTATACTTAAGCACAAGATGGAAGCTGAAAATATTTGTAGAGGACAGAAGTTTCAGCTGGCTACTCAATGGTCTTCTTTGAACATTGTGGTTGGAACTCCTGACAAAAAAACTGACTGAATTGAGCTGAAACAGATGTCCTTTGGTACTGTTATGGAGTTGGTTAAATCTTTTAAGCTTTCAAAAAATCAAACAAAGAATTTTTGTTTTAAATATAGATCTAGTATGAGAACTCAAACCTGCATTGAAGCGAACATCTTTGAAAAAATCGAGGCTCTCCATAACCGTATAAATGAATTTTACACTTCTAAAGAAGTAGATTTTATGGATGGTGAAGAAGTCATTACTAGAACATTGGTTCATGTAAAAGACACATCTACATTGATATAGCACGCCATTACAGAAAGAGGAATAGATCCACATGACT